TCATTTATGGATATCTTTGATTATCCTGTAAAAGCAAATGATCTCATTGAAGTCCAGGCTATCTGACATCAGTATCTTTTTTCTGGTTGATTTAGGTCTCCAAGATGGGGGTTTATTGTCAAATGAGTCAGATAGAGCTGAAGAAATACAGTACATAAATTAATCTTATATAACATTTATATCAGACTAGGTGATATGATAGACCTCTAACCTTAACCCTAATGCTAACCTATAAATTATGGAAACAATTAACTATTGTACAGTTTTCAGGTGACACCCAATGCCATACGTCTTTGATTAATACAGACATATATTAAAAACACAAACTCCTTTGTGACTGATCTGCAGTTAGTTAACCTTGATTTACATAAAACCTATAATCACTGAAATAAGGCTGAATGTCAGTGTCTGTGCAGATGCATGCCAACAGTGTATGTCTCTGCATGCACAGGAGAATGCAAATTTGCATAAGTGCTGAAAAGGATTACATTATTATCCCCAAGAAAAAAAAATGTAGTGAGTGGAGCAGGGTGTGCAGTGAGTCAGCCCTGTAATTAAAGAGGAGCGATCAATCTGTACCACTGACCACACTACTTATGCCAAGTCCATCGAATGGCTGCCGTAAAGAGCTAATTTAGAACCATTAGGGACTGCCGAGTTAGCAAACAGCCCAGTAATGATGATGGCTGATTCAAGTTCAAGGCTTGGCCTCTGTAAATCTGTCAGACCTGGCAGTCATAAGACAGGATCCGTGGAAGATCTCAGATGAAGAGAAAGAACCACATATCTATTGAAATTATTTATATTTTAATTTGTATTCATTTATGTTTTTTATCCCATGAGTCTTTAGTGGTGGTTACTTAACTAATTTAATCCTGTTTGTCCCTAGTGGGAGATAAGGCTTCAGTGATCTTGTAGAGAATCCGCTTGTGCCACATGCTGTGTCTCTCCCCTTGTTAGGTCCATCTCTCTTTAACTGTGTTGTTTTGGGATGACCTTGCTTCCTGTTCCCTCATAGAGTCCACCTTACTGTTTTCCCTGGGATTTGATCCTTGGCCATTCAGAGGGCATGCCTTGGCAATCAAATTCAGCAGATTTTTGTGAAAGAATCCATGATGGAGGGCATCAATCTTTTTCATGTCACATGTTGTCACTCCCCAGCATTCTGAGCCACACACCAGCATTGGTTTTACATTGCTCTTTACGTTTACATTGCAGTTTTATTGGTGTCCTTTTTTGCTGCCTTGTCTTTGCTGACAAGACTTCCAAAATAGGAAGTCTCCTTGTTATAGCTGTGTGTCCACATTCATGGTGAGTAGTGACATTAATGGACATCACCTGAGGTTTGGAGGCATCAAAGTTCACATCTGCTTGGCGAACCCTTTCCCTTCAGATGAATATGCTTAGAGAAGTTCAGAATTCTGAAGAATTGACCAACAGATGGTTTTCCTCCTCATAATCTAGTCCATCTTTTAGTTGTGGCAATCCTCCCAAAAACATGCCACAGAAACAGGAGCAGAGTGCTAATTTGAGAGACAACAGATTCAGTCCACACTTTTACAAACTGTCTCCACACTGGCAACTACTGCACACAGTAAGACCTCAAACACAATGAAGGACAGAAAGACACAGACTGGTGGGAGGCAGGATGGAGGCAGCCAGGCATGTCCTTCTTCCCCTTGTCTGTTCACCATTCACCCACAGTGTTTTGCTGGCAGGCAGCCCTCCAGGGGAACATGACCTGAAAGTGTAGCAGTGCACTATTTGGTCTGCCTGTGACCTCCTCTCTCCTATGCAGCCCCACTATGTTCAAAATCATAAACTCCTCTTGCACCGTATGCTCTGACATCCCTCAGTGGAAAACTTAAGACTGAATAATAGTAGACAACTGAGACAATTAAAGGTCAAACTGTAACTTATTGTAAGAGCCTGCTTGGTTATAATCACATATAGCCGTGTTGCCTTCTGACCCTGCAGCATGTGTTTACATTGCTATATGTAGAAAGGTGGAAAGGAGTATTTCCTTCAATAGCGCAAAAAGACTATGATCTCTCTTTCTCTCCGGATGTTTGAGCACTTTTAAGCAATAATATGAAATCACCTCACTTGGATGTGCAGTGAGTGAAACCTATCATTCCCATGCTGTCCGACACTTTTTTAATCTCCCCCTCTGCTAAAAAGCCTTTTTATGGATGCCTTATATTAAATGAATGTTTCAGTCATGTGTGCAAGGGAGCAGTGACAGCGGGCCAAGTACACTGGATCTTTGCAATCAACTGTCCACCACCAGGCATCATTTTTCCTTTTTTTTTTCTTCATTTTCTATAATGACGAATGCGAGAGCTTTCTCAAGAGGCCCATCTCATGATGCCTTTCACATGCTCCCTGTCTCATTTAGATGCCATGAAGTAACTCCAGTATAAGAATAATCGCATGCCATCTTCTTGACCTCGTTTCCAGTTGATGATGAAGGACCGGGAGGTGACCATGTTCGCACGTAGATCCGTTCTTACTTGCTAAGATAAGCACACATTGTTGTCTGATGTGCAAGTGCTGACCTGAGATCCCTCGCCTCTCCCACCCATCCGCATATTAATGAAGAGCAGATGAAAGGGAGCCGGCCAGACTGAACACCATGTTTCAAATTCAAACACACAACAGGAAGCACTGAGTGGGAATTGCCTTTGGAATCATAGGGTTTCAGGTCAAGTTGGTCATTGGTCTAGTCAGAGTCCAGACTGTTCCCACACTGGTCTGATTCAGTTCTTACTCATTGCTAATGTGCAGCACTGATGCTTATAGTGTCTGACAATTTGCACAAACAAACATTTTCCACATTTTAGTCAACAGTTTTATGTTATAAAGGCATGAGTCACAACCAAAAGACCAAAAACACCATCCCCATGCACCGATTAACCACAGCAAGACTGAGATGAGCTTGTGTTTGACAAAGAACTGGAGTGTGATGTTTCTTGCGATGATCGATGTCTATGTGCTGCTCCACTTGCTTTGTGTCATGCCACAAATACCACATTTCCATTTGCATAATGGACAATTGAGCAACCAGTTACTTACAGAGATACAACGTAAGAGCATCCAGTGTAACTGTTTGCGGTCCAAAGACATGAATATATGTTGATTAAATGAAGAAATTGGTTGAAAAACTTTGGTTTGTTTTGATAGTTTGGCCTGTCTGACCTGCAGGAAATTGAGACAGCATTAAACAATAGAAGAAGAAAAAGAGGCAGAAGTGGCTGGCAGGATTGCTCGTAGTCTTTTCTTAATGATATGATGTTTGAACAATGAGGATGTTCATTTTGCTGGTAGTAATAATAATATTACAGTGGCAACCAGTTGATACATTAAACTGGCCTGTCTATAAACCAATCAATGTCAAGAATAGATAAATGTGGCCCCCACAAATGATGAAAGGTAGTATGTATGTTGTACAAAAGTCTTTTGTCCGCTCCTTAAATTTGATAAATCTAAAAACTAACCAGGTCAAGTGCAGACCATGTTACAAAGACATGAACATTGAATCAGCCCATGGTCAGATGTAAAAACGCTCTGAGAGCTCTTCAACTGATTGGGATTTGCTTCTCCTCATTTCATTACAATGTTCAATTTTTACAACAGACCTGCTAACAAAAAACAAAATGAGACTCATTCACTAGAAAAGATGCAACAATTTTAATTTGCAGCTTTATCAGTGTGAAATCTTTGCTTTGCATTAGCACTAACAGCACTATTTTACCATGAGGGGAGTGTTAACAGCACTTCTCAGGTAAAATAACAGTAACACTGTATGACATGTTTAATTTCATGTGAATCCCTTTAATCACATTCACCGCATATGTAATTTCAACACAGCCTGGATATAATGGACACTGCCACTAACAACAAAGAATATTGTAAAAAGTGATAATTACAAAATGCTTTTGTTTGATGATGTTAAAAATAGATGAATGGATAACCTTTTCTGAAGAGCAACATTATTCTATAGACACAACTCTCTGAAATCACATTCTCATTTATGTCTGCCATAAAACAGCCCTTTTATACTTATTGTCATTAAACATACAAACCAGTGTCTCAAATGAAATTGTTATTTCTTTCCATTCATCTCGGTGCTGTCTGACAGCATAAATCTTACCCATAACAACCTTCCTTCCAATTATGATGCTTTTGCAGGGGAATATGGCAGCTGCCTGCAGCCTTTGATTTCATCTTGCCCCAGATCTGCATTGTAATGAGCACTCAGGTCAATCAATAATTCACTGCAGTTTCAGTTAGAAGGAACAAAAAAAACAGATTGTCTCATGGGCAAAACAGGAATAGGACTTTGATCAGTGCCATTTAGAGGCATAGCATTGTTGTATTGCTTATTTTGGAAGCATTTAAATATTTCTTTGTGCACTGTATTTATGTGGATGAATGGATGGATGGTTATTTAAATGTTAATACAGTTACTCTGTCTTTATTTATTTACTGCTAGTTTTCCATAAAGAACTTTAACCTGAACTAGTAACCAAAAACATGGCTTTCAATTTCTTTAGAAACTTCATTTGTGTACAATAAACTCAGTTTTGATCCCTTTCTGGTTTCATAAATTCACTCAATATATGGAAATTAACTGTATGATGAGATTTGGGTTCACTCAGTAAAATCCTTGCTGGTATCATATTTATAAAATATATAGTTGTCTCAAGTGGTTCAGTGTATATTTTCTGCATCACAGTGTTGTGGAAGTGCCACACATCTGATAAACAAAGCTGTTGAGATTTGTTTTCTTTTTTACTGACCAGAGTGCCCTCAGTCTGCACTCATCAACAAAACATGTTATATATAGATTAAAAACTCAATTACATACTTACTCTACTAATGGTCCAGATTTACAGAATTACTCAGTCCGGATTGATTTGCTGATACAATTCTTCCATTCATTATCATATGTTTATCATATCGCTAACGCCTCCCTCTCTGTGTGTCTGTATCAATAGTTCCCCCAGAGGACCCAGTCATCAGCGGAGGGCCAGTGGTGAGTCTAAGGGCTGGCGACCCGCTCAACCTGACGTGCCATGCTGACAATGCCAAGCCAGCAGCCTCAATCATTTGGATCCGCAATGGAGAGGTCCTCAATGGGGCCATGTACTCCAAGGTAAGCTTAGAGGTGTGTGTCATATCAGGGTTGTAGACCAGCTGGGGACAAGGATGGGGGGTGAAATGGTGGGCCGGGGGATGAGCCGTTCTTCTTTTGTGACAGGAAACCAAGTTGTGCTTTGCTGTAAATAACTATTGGTGGGTGTTTTGCTCCAGCATCCAGACTGCTTTTTGAAATGAAATCCCTTGAAAATCCAGTTTGTGTTCTTATTGCAAAGGTTGCTTTTTTCCCTTGAAAACAAATGAGCTCAAGCAGATTGTGAGATCATGGAACTACCTATCAGTGACTTTGCATTTGTCTCTGTTGTTTTGATCTCCTCCTTAAGTGTCTTCTGTCTCTCTCTCAATCTCCCCTGTGAATGACACGTCCTCACTCTAAATGCAAACATCTTCTTCCGTTCTAACTGGCTGCTGCAAGACCCTGTTGTTGGGTCCAGCCTCTCAGGTAACCTCAAGTACTCCTAATGACCCTACAAGCCAAATACCTGGGCAGTCAGTTAGGACTGGAGAAGCCTCTTGGATGAGAGGTGAAAGGTCTAAAAGAAACTCAACCAAGTCCAGTTGACCTGTTTTTAGCACTTGAATATAACATAACCTGGATGACTGAGAACCTCCACAGACATGCATCTTGGGTACATTCACACCTGTACCGAAAGGTGTCCACTTGGGATTGTATCGCCCGAAACGGGTGGTAATGCCAGGTCCAAACAGAGCTGATGATTCTCAATTACAGATCATGTTCCTACTTTTTATGCCAAATTACGCAATAGCCACTGTTTACACCACGTCTGTGTCAAAATCACCATACACACCACAGACTCTTGATTGACGTTAGCCCTCAAGGCTAATCATGCAATCAACACTGTCATGTTCTATTTCCATTTAAACAAAGGACGTAAATAGACGAGGCACTTTAGAGTACTAACACCTCCCTCGCTTTCCTTCACTCCCTGTGCTGCCTCATCCCATTATCGGCTTTTTACAAAGAGCAGATAAATGCCATTGATTGGACTGGGGTATGGCACCAGGCCGATTTGAATAAAGTGATTGCTTGAGGTGCCACTTACTAATGGTGGGCGGAGAGTGCGCTTCCTGCCTTCACTTCCTCTCATAGCGACAGCAGATGTGAGGACATTCTGTGCTGGTATAGATGATGGATGCTCACATGCCTGCACTGAGCACAAGTATGTCCCTCTTCCCTCTTCCCTCTATCGCCGACCATTAAAAAGCAATGGGTTCGATTAAAAGAAGATGACTCTTTTTTTGGGTCCGCAGAGCAGGCAGGAGGGGGACATTTTGTAAGCATAATCATCTGCTCTGACGATCTTCTTATATCCTGCACATGAAGGGGACTAATGTGAGCAGATGTGGTGGGGGATTCACAGAAATGGCTTTCCTGATGGTGTTGTATCTAATGATATCACTGACCCAAAGATAATTTCCCACCAAGGCCTCCAAAAACTTCATCTTCCTGACCTCTTAGAAAACTATTTACTGGACCAGTGGTAAAAGAGAAAGAGTATGATTAAACCTATCACTTAGTAATAATGTGTGTTAGGTTTGCTGTATCAGAGAGTCACTGAGTTGATGCATTGCTGATCATTAGTGAGGGCAGCTTTAAAACACAAAACAAAAACAGAACTCTCAGTGTATCATGGAGGTGGCATCGCAAATAATAAAAAGGCAGAAGGTTGTCACATTAGGCGAATGGTTAAAAAAAATCAAGACTATAGCAGTGAAGGCACAGGACATTTTCTGAATAATGTTCTCTCTCTCCCCCAAATACTCAAATCCCATCTGCCACCAGTGGAGTTTCTCAGTGGCAAACAGCAAAGCACAGTTTGTAACATGCAGCCTCCAGGTCTGAGCTGTGGTTCGGGGGTGTGCTCACTTGCTATATGATGTGTTTGCACTGGAATGGTACAACAAATCCTTTCAAAAGAAGCATGATGCATACCTGAAAGTAATTCTCCACAGTGTGCAACATGTTTTTTCAAAAAGCTCCAGTGGGAAGCAGAGAGGTGAACTGGAGACCAGGGATTTATTTTAGTGTTGAGAGGTTTCAGAAAGAAAAAAGCCCAAACTGAAAAATATCTGTAAATATAAAATATTATTCTGTATACTCTTAACTTTGCAGTAAAATCATGTAGCTGTTTAACACAAGGGGAAGTTCCCATATGTTAGAGTTTAAAAAAAGATTATATGTATATACATTACAAATTACAAATAAATTCACTAATTAGTTAATTAATCCACTTTAAAGGATCTCAAAAGACTTTTGCATGTTGATTTACTTACATTTGTTCTTTTTAACCACAGTGACTATAGTAAAGATTATATTTTTCACCTATTCATAAATGTATAGTACAATGATAAATCATTTAACTGCCCAAGTAAATGAGCCCTTGCATGGTGAATTTTAATAATATATAAATTCTGAGCTTTTGCTTAGATAAATCTGGTACAAAAACTACAATAGCATCCATGAGTAGAAAAATAAGCTTTGACTTCTGCAAATAAGTCCGACTTTAATATTTGATTAAACATCCTTTGTATATGACACATTGAAATAACACGAAGGTACATGATACAAAAATATCATTATGAGTGTAATTAACTGAAATGATATAAACCAGAGTTCAGTTAGGAGGATGCCACCATGAGATCCACTAGACAGACGAAGTTAGCATGTGGTTGTGCAGTATAGTTAACCGATTGTAAATCTGAGAATAAATCCTGTCGTATACTATCTTTGTAAAGACCTCACGGTGGTGTGCAGAGAGAGCACACAAGCCGACATCAGCCAGGTTCAATTATTAAGAGCTGATATGATGAACTGTCGACAACATTTGCCATTTTAACCAGCGACAGTGACACTCAGCAACGGCTAAAAATGATAAGCTCCAGCTCAACGTTTTCGACACTGACTTGCTAATGATGATTAGCGTCAGAGCTTATGAACCTTTCCAACCTCACTGTCTGAACTAGTGAGTCACTCACTTTTATTGCACACAGTGAAAAATACAGCACTGTCGACTATGAACTGTAACATCCCTGTTGTGGTAAAAAGGTTGACTCTAACTGGAGTTCATGATCAATATGAAAATATGCAATGTCTGCAAAGAAACATCTGTCTTGCATTTTGCTAAATAGACATCAGAAAAAGCTTTCAAATGAAACAGTTATGTGACACAGGTTGAATGCAGCTGAAATTCACATTTAACACAGTCCTGGTTTAGTACTAACAATTAATTACCTTGGCTAGCAGCACAGCAAGTTTTATTTAGTAGATAATCTGTTTTGTTCTGCTGGCTTTTTAATTAGAACTAAATCCGGTTTTGTAAGAGCCACCCGTTGGTCTTCTACTGAGGTCACCCACTTCTTATGTAAAGGGTTTTCTTGGCAGTTGTATCGTGAGGAAGAATACAATCTATCTCAAAATTAGAGCCAAACTGACTTCATGGGTACCACTGCTACCCATGATAACAGCAGAGGTTTTTTTTAAACAACTAAAATTGTAGTTTTGTATATCAGTTTGCAAAAATAGAGCCGACAGCATCTGCTAATGTTTGCTGACACATTAATCAGATTAGTAAAATGAGGGGTGCCACTTTGCTGTGTTACTTTTACCCTCCAGAGGTCAGCAATCATATAATGCATCTTTAAATATACATGAAAAGAACCAACCCTTTCCATCTCAATCTTGTTACTTTTGTCATTTCTCTCCTAGTATGGTTAAAACTATTCTTCGCATGGCCTCCAGGCAGTGATATGAAAATTTATCAGTTTGTAATGTGGCATGGTGTTGAATTCAATGCAGCAGCCAGCTAACCCCCTTTTCTAAGATTAATGACTTCAGACAGGTCCAGAGCGACGAGGGAAACAATCCTGACTGTGTCAGAAAGGATATTACATTGACATATCCTGTGCCTGACAGCTAATGCGTTCTGCTTTAGAAGTGGCTCATGCACAGCTATGAATTTCATCACAAGGTTTCTTACTTACAAATGGACTCCATCTATAATTTCTTTTTACTGCAAAATCCTAACTAATGACACGTTAATTATATTTTTCAGAATGTGCATGTATGCTTAAGAAAAAAGGAAAGGCACATACTTAGATTATAGTTGTATTTAATAGAAACTCTTGCATTACAGCAGAGAAATGAGGAGATAATTACTACTGGTTGACAAAATGAGAATGAGCTAATGATTAATGGGTAGCGTTTGAGATTGGAGAACTTTGAGAGAACATGCACTTTCAGTCCTGACATCTAAACTTACCTTAAAGCCTTTCAAGTGCTTTTGTTTCAAATTTAAACCTATAGCATTACATTTAGAAATGAATTGGCTTGTAGACTAAAATGTTGAATATAGACCTTGAGATGGAACATGAAGATTTGTTTGTGCGATAAAACTCCACGAAAAGAAAATGTCTTTGGAGCAAACTATACATCTGTGAGGCTAATCTACAGGTGGTAGTGCATGAAAGCAACTCCACAGTGAGTTCAAAATGGTCAACATTCTGTTTTGTATGTTAAGAGAATGTTTGATGTCCTTGACTATAACAGGTTCTTCTGTCTTCAGAAGACACACAGCAATAATGGGCCTCCCTTTAAAAGATGGCAGGGAAATGCATCTTGCCTTTGTGGTTGACCACACTGTGCCCCGTTGCCCACGCAATTTGTTCTAGTCAGTGACTTTGTTCTGTCCCGCACTGGTTAACATAGACTCCCAGAGCCCTCCCCTGAGCGTTCGAGGGAGAGCAAGAGCTACTGAGCGCTACCAACCGATTCCAGATGGCTTCCACAATGTAGGGCTCAGAGGATGAGCACTGAAAAGAAGATTGATTTCCTTTGTAGAGTATGACAAGCCATGCACTAGAGCGCAGCTCTCCAGACACAAAAAAGAGGCTAAAAAAATATATTTTTTTCTACTTTTTCTTTCTTTTTTCACATCAATTGGCTTTGCAATCAGGTTTGGCTGCTCTGAGGGTTTGCGTCTGGATCCAAGCGGACAAAATGTGTGTATACATGAATTTGTTGCTCTTTTTTCCAGCTTTGCTGTTTTTACAGTTTTAGACTTTCGCCATCAAAGCTAATCTTGTGAACAGTTTCTTCCATCTCTTCTGTTAAGAATCCCAACTTCGAATTTTACAATGTATAAATCTGTTTATTGATGATGGAATCCATGGTTCCAGCCAACCATACTTAAATAATTCACACAACTGCCTACACTGCTACTTTGAACTTCACTCAGCCCTTTTCTTCACTCTTTGCAGACCTTGCTGCGGGATGGGAGAAGAGAAAGCACTGTGAGCACGCTCTACCTTTCACCCTCCAACATCGAGACAGGTCAGCAGATCATCTGTAAGGCCTCCAACAAGGCAGTCCCCAATGGCAAGGAGACCAGTGTCACAATTGACATCCAGCGTAAGCAAACCACTTCTTTCTCTGTCTTTATGGTTTTCAATGTCTCTCTCTTGCCGGGAGGTTGTTTTTTAAGTTCCTTTGTTAATGATTTCTGAGTGTGTCTCTGTATGACATGCATTACTCATAAATATGTGGTATTTCTCAAACATAGAGGCGTGAAACTGTCAGACAGGCATGGATGACAAACACTCTAAACATAGGATTCATTTTAGGCTCTGATGGATATTTAAAATTGGTTTCCATTTTACTTTCATACCATGTAGGTGGGTGGATGGATTGGTGATGCATTACTTTTTTGTTCTTTATAATGAAATATCAGAGATGTCCATCTAGAATGAATGGGACCGTCTTTTTTTGGTCCAGCTACCTGCCTGATGTGGAAGTACGCACACTGTCTCCACCTCTTTTATGTCCTCGCTCATGCCATCAATCTTTTTGATGAGAGCATGCACAATTCCCCTCTAATATAGACAAAGTAAGCCCAGCGTGTAAAACACATTCAGCCTCGATTGTCAGGAATCTTTTTTCGATCAAGAAGCATTCACAGTAAGGGAAGGGCTTTGAACAAAGGGATTTTGCATCACTCACAGCCCCTTCAACACCATTAAGTATGACTAATAAAGCAGAAAATGCTATTTAGAGAGCCATTATGACTGACGGCCCCATTCTTTTCATTATGTACACCACAAGAGGCGAGAATGGCAAGAGCGGGCACGGCATGAACGGGCCAACTCAGGCGCGGGAGTAAAAATGATTAACAGTTGTTAGTGTCTGCAACCCTTGCAGTTTGTCCTCGTCTTTTTTTGTCAAGCAGTCAGAGAGGGAAGTGTGCCCACATGTAAACTGATTTGTCACCATGTATAATGATGTGTCTCTGATAAACGCTCGCCATCATAGCGTCACCCTTTTCTTCTGAGTGTATGATATAACCCGGAGAAATGACTGCAGCAGATTTTTAATTAGCATTCCAAAATGTGCTCTTTACACAATTAAACCTCCTGAAAACATTTTTTCGCTGTGCAAGATCAAACTGAGCGACAGCAGTGACTAATTGTCGAGATTCAGATTGTCTCCCACAAGGCTTAGCCTCTTGTTTCTCTGCCTCCACTCCCGCTCCCCTACCTTCCTAGCAGACTTGACAGGTAAAGTCTTCAGCACAGTTCAGCAGAGCCTCCGGAGTTTCTCTTCCAAATTAAGCTGCTCCTGAAATGAAACACCCTGTAATTGAACTTTGATCCATTTGTGCTGCATATCAATTTGCTTATTTTCAGTGCTGTCTAATTTGATTTAATGTTTCTTGGCTTGTCAACAACATTTGAAACATGCAGTTTTTACACATTTAAAACATATAAGCCCTTTTTGCAGCTGTACAACATATCTACTGCCCCCTGCAAAGACAGATGTTGACTCAGTTTCTCATGATTATTCACATGCATGTGTATTTTCGCTTATAAACTTCGGTGAAGTGGTAAAATCCCATATTATTGTGACAAAGGATTAATGTGAAGTAGAACCTAAACCACTTAGATGTGAATGCACCACATGTTACAAAGAAGGTGACGAGAGAGTGGCACCCAGTCTTTCTGGAACAATAAACACAGCTGTTGAATAAATAAATGATGGAGCACTTGCACAGGGAATGGTAGCAGCTGACATTTGACCTCCATCCTCCAAGAGTGCAGCCAACAACGGTGAATGTTGAAATGACCTGAAGACCAGACTGAACCAAATCAGACAATTTTCACCAGGGAACTATCGACACATGCCCGTGAAAATTTCAATACTTGTGAGTGAGTGAGTGACTTTGGAAAGTAACATGATGCATCAGTCTAGCTTCCGGTTGTCTGTAACACTGTGATTAGCAACCTACAGGAAACGCTAAGAAAAAGAGTTCTCCACCTAAATTGGTGTCATTCAATTCAGGGAACTCAGACACCCACAATAAAGTGTTGATTGTTTGAGCTCCTGCACTTTGCTGGAAAAAGCGAAAAAACATTCTTACCAGTCACATGTAATTGGGATTGGTGAGAATGGGTTTTATAGTGCAGTGGTGCTGCTGTCACGTTCTAACTGAAAGGGTCTTCACTGTGCCAACTACAAGTTTCAAGCGTTTTTACCAGTATCTCGTAACCACCTGAATCTGAGCTTTATGACGTGGTCATGCTATAGTTCCTGACTTCATGAGTTGTCAATGACCACTTAAATACGTAGTGCACATTTGGAGACTATTTTTTTATAAATGCATCAGGCTTTGTCTGCCTGTTCTGATGTATTCACTGCTCAGGATTTGCAAAGGATCCAGAGCGTGAATTTGGAACATAGGCAGCTACAGTGAGCGCTGAGTAGTCTGGACACAGCAACGACCAACAGACAGACTCCAAGGTACTGAGGGAGACAGATGACAGTATGTGTTCCTCAAACTTAGTACCAATCAAATATACTGATAATGCAATACAACAGCCGGAAATTATAGAATTATCCTTTTGTGCCTTGCAATCCCCCAGTTTTCATGGAAGGCTTGATTTGAATACTATTTTTCATTCCAATTATTAATCAAATGACATCAATTTGTCAAAAAAATCTATTTGTTTCTCAGTTCATAACTCAAAGAGGGAGGTGTTGATTTATTTGTTACATTAATGGTGATCGTTCAACAAATAATCAATGATGAATACAGATGGATAATTAGAAAAGAGGTGAGACAGAGGGGAATGAATCACACAAGAAACAGAGACCTCACTTTCTTCTGCCTACTCTACAACTTTCTCAGTAAGACTTTCTTCGAGAAGGTGAAAGCCATCATCCAGCCTATCAATGCAATGGCTCCCTCAGGCGCTCCTTGTCAGTTTGTGAAATAAATGTAACACTTGACCATCTCTTCTTTACAACTGTGGTTGGTGTTCTCACTATTCTACAGCGAGAGCCAGTCACGTGTCAGGATCTAACAGCACCGGCTCATAATTTTTGGCAGTATTCAATGCTTCCAGAAAAAATAGAAAATAAAGCTAGCAGCAGCAAGGATGTACAATATGTTCAGCATACACTTGATCTCATCAAACACTCCTAATTTATACAGTACTTTCTAAATCAACTTCTTCTAAGAGATAAACATGAACTTAATGACATTCATGCTCACACATCCATCAAAATGAAGATGTTGCCATATGACAGGCTACATTTAAAGCTTACAAGGGTAAGTGATGTTGCAGTTTGGTCATAATTCATAAGATAAATAAACCGCTTTTGTCAAAGCAGCTGGGAAGATGCCATGTTGCATACTAACGATATGTTGTGTTGCTGTGCACACGTGTTCAGTGACTGTCCAAGGTTGTGTATGACAAAGCGTTGCCTTCTTCCATGAATTTGCATTTTTAATCTATTTATAATTGGTGCTGATGAAAAACTACTTCAAAAGATTATAATCCTAAACATTAACAGGTTTCTTCAGTCACTGTTTAGGTGAATGGTTTTTCTGTCATAATGTCTTCTCAACTATAAAATACTTTGCAAATATTGCATTTACATATCCCATACATATGCTGGCTACACTTAATTTCTGATTTAGTAGGGGACATTTACAGAAAGAATAATATACATCTGTATTATTTGAAACATGAAATACCTTGAACAAATACTTTGACAAGAACAGTCATAACTGGTTGCCATTTTTAGAGCAAATAATACATTCTGTTTCTTGTCCCTTTTCATGTTGTGTTCTCATGAGTTCTGAAATGTCCGTCTGCCTAATAACAAAGATGGAGGGATTAATATCTGGTGAACAGTTGCTGTTTGTCTAAGTGGGACCCTGGAAGCCGGACTGCCCTCTAAACCTAGCACTGTCCCTGAGAGATCTGATTGAATCGTGTTATAATTCACTCACTGAAATGCCACTTTACTCTTTGGATAGAAATTGTGCCCAATGAATGAATACATTTTAAGATGGAGAGTACAACTTGCCTTGCTTTAACCTTAGTGATTATTTTTGAAGCATACAGTCTTGTTAAAGCAACTCAAATGTTGACAGTGTTACCAGGTTCAATTTCAAGTGTCATTTTATTTCTCTTTCCTATTTAGCCATTGGAAATTATGCGTTGACAGCTATTGAATAGAGGGTTAATACCTTGCAAATATTTCCCAGGCACCGTGTGAAAGCTGTATTGAGCGCAGAGAGATGAAATTGATATTGATGCTCTCATCAGACACCCAGTAAGATAGCAAATAAGCAGATTTCCTCAAATGCCTGTGTATTCCCTAAAAATTTGGATTTTGTATAAATGCTGGCAATGGCTATTTTATTTCTCTTTGTGTGCAAGACCCGATATTAAGAATTAAAAGTTTCATTTATTTCCTTGCCCTGAGTTATCTAATTGACCGTATTAGTGAGATAATATTAATAGCAACAAAAGTAATTAAAATCTTCTCCGTCTGTATGCCCTTTCTCAACATTTTGTATTCCAGTCGCTTCTGAGCTGAGGTGCCCTTTTTCTCGCCGCTCCATCCTTACAGCAATCCAAATGAGAGTAATCTAAAGACAACCCAGCACGCTGCTCTACAGCTTAAACCCACCTAAAATCCAATGCATTTCACAACACCATTTTCTTTTTATCATCGCTTTAATGCTCGTGATTTACATCCACCTCAGCATTTTCACTCCCACAGAAGTTCATACAGCATTATCTGACCAAGGGTTAGACAAATTAGCATCCAAATACATTATGTACTGGTGATGTTGCCAGAATGAAAGGAGTTTATAGCCATCAGAGGTGATTCAGAACCCGGGATAGACTGCTGACTTCAGTTGTCCATACCAGTCCATTAGCTGGCTGTAATTATTTGATAGCAGAGGGGTGGCTACTCCCTGATGTTTTTTTGTCCAGCAGTTTGACTTAACTCGCATTACACCCTTTGGACTTTAATCACTAGACTTTCCTAACTACACCGCCCCCCCCCAGCATAAAACCACTGCAGTGAAATATGGTTCTGATGCTGCAGTTCCATGTCCAGCTGCATATCTGCAGAGCATTGCCCCAGATGCGAAAACACGCCTTTCAAACACGTGATGGGAAATTAATTCGCTGGGGACGAACGAAGCCAAGCTTTCCCTGTGTGTTTGCATTGCAAACAAGCTGAGCCATGTGGGGGGGGAAACGAATGCCATTTGTTGAGACTAATTAATAAAGAACATGCAGATGTGCAATTGGGGAGGATTTGTTTTTGGTAGCTGGCTCTGCTTCATGCTCTCCCTGCTTAATCAAGCAGATAATGGCAAATTCAACAGAGACAGAATTTGAAAGTGAGAGGGAAAGAGACGGCTTTAATGACGCTGCGATGCAGAGTAATCTTGTGATCTCATATGTTAAGACATGATTTCTGAATATCACACTTCCAATGCACCGAAGATCTGTCTGATGTTCTAAACTAAGCTTTGACGACTATCTTGCGATTGCATCTGTTGCAAAACTGTGATGCTCACGAACACATCCAGACCCTCGCAGATGTACTACACCAAGCGCGTAGCACTGTGCTTCAAAATTTCATCTGCTTCAAGATTAGCAGAGCATCTGCCTCTATTAGATTGAGTGAATTCTTATAAATAGCTCATGATCAATATGTCGAACCACAGGTTGTCAGTCTGTTCGCCCCTGAAGTATTCCACTCTACTAGCCATGTGACAGTTTGCCCATATTGCTGAGGCCACAAGCCACAAGCTGATGGCCCACAAACAGCTTCCCCATCCTACATAGGGAGCCGTCACTCCTGGAGTTTGAGTTTGGTCCTACTGGAGAACAGCTGTCTACAGTGACCCGGAGAGATTGGAAATTGAGCTTTAAGAAAGGGAAAAAACAATTTGTGTTGGCGCTGTCTCCCGGAAACAGAGAGAAGTTGGAAGATTGTTCCAAAAACACCATCTGCTCTCTTCTTTGAACTAACCGATCAAAAGCTGTCGGCCAAATATAACACAACCCATCCCCCAACCCATTCATCCTGTTGTTTTCACCCAGGCACCGATCAGTCTTACTATCCCCTTTCCCTCCATCCATCCATCCATCCTTCCATCCTTCCCTCCCCCTCTCTCTCCCCCTTGCTACTACTCTCTTGACGAAACTGAGGAATTAACAGACTTGCATATTGATGTGCCGTCGCATGATGCCTCAAATGCACTCGCTCAGCAACTCATGCATTTATACATCACAGTCGCAAATGGACTTCTTTATTAAGTAGATGTCTGTCATATCTGGAAGGTCAAAGGTCAGAGAAGTGACAGTCCCAGGCCTCACAACCCGAGGCCGTCGCTGGCAGACGTTTGACAGTTGTTGCTCCCGTGGCTGTCCTTGCTTGCAGCTCTTCGGGGAGATAGAGCAATCCAACACATCGCTCTCAAGACTTAGAAGTAGATGTAAAGTCTTCATGACACCACCTCTTGCTGAGAGGAGCTCTGGTCTTTAAGGGAGGGTCAGTTTTTACGTCTCAATCGTTTAAAAGAACTTTAATTAGTCGCCAGATTGACAGTTATGGGAATTTGTGTCGCTGGAAGTCTCTTGGCAGCAAGACCAGAGGACAGAAAAGGGGTTGGCATGATAGAAAAGTACAGTGTTGGAATGCCTTTAGTGAAAAAGGCCCGTGAATTATATGACTGTGGCTAATAACACAGACACTACCTCCAGATCTCCCTCACTCTTCTTTTTATGACTACCTCTTTTTGCACTTGCAGCTTCTCTCCGGATTTATCCCAACCTCCACCACTGCCACATCTGTCATTTTGCCCCTGAGGTTCCCTCTGCCCACAATTTGGTCCACGCAATTAACCGCTTGCAATGCTAAGAAACACCTACTGGGCAGCTAACACTGCTGCTCAAGGCAGAAGAACATTTGCTGCTTTTTTATTATGACACTCACCCACTTGGCCTTTCGTACGCACACATAACCCAACTTACAAATGCAAACACACAGACACACAAACAGTTGGCTGCTCGGTATCTGGAGAGACTCGCTGGCTCACTGCGGCCTTCAGTCTTCCAGGATTCACAATGTTGTTGTTTTCTTTCCTGGCCTGGGGAGAACTGGCACAGGTAGAGCTCACGGATTTGAAGGTGGTAGAGTGGTTGGTGGGGTTTTTTTGGGGGGGGGGTGGGCAACTGTCCTGGGGGGAAATGAGTCTGCTGATGGGGGATGTGGTGTGTGTAGGCAGCAATACGGCACCTGGAATCCCGCACCCCAGTCCCTCCACCCTCAACCCCAGTCTCTGGGGCTCCATGGCAGCTGAGCCAGCCCAGAGCATCTGCACAGCTACAGGGTAAAAGGCAGTTTTCCTACACTTCGTACCCCCCCACCCCCACCCCCCTTCTCCACAGAATCCCTCTCCATAACTATACAGTGTCATTTGGCTTCACTACAGCGCTGTTTGTGTGCCTCTTGAATTCTGTGTGGATTTCTGTGCCCACTACTGCTCTTCACATCCGCATCCAAACACTGTCCCTGGTTAGTAGACTCGTATTACTGAACACAAAGCACATAGACTTAACACACCTTTGAAACAGATGGCAGCGCCGGCATCAAAACACAGAACCAGCTTTTTCCCCCCTGTGACAAGTCTCACAATCCATGATGGCTTCCCAGTATGTCAGGTAGTACAAATCTCTGTCGAAGTGGCTTCTCAGAAACCCTGCTAAGCTTGTGGCATGTAACTGCATTTCATAAAGCAGGAGTTAGGTTTCGTTGTTTTTCGTTTTTTCACTGTTATATCTTACTTTTTTTCCCACACTCATAGGTTAGTGTCTGTCTGTTTGTATGTGTCTGTAATATCTCAAGAACTAGTTCTCTAATTGACTTCACACTTGGCATGTGAATTATTAAAGGCCCAAGGAAGTGCAGTGTCAAATTTGGGGTTATAGACATAGGATACGTCAATTTCTGCAACCATCACTACTGCACTAGTGTGTTGATATGACAGAAGACACTAATGTTAATGGATAAGGAAGCGAAAATGCAAAGAAATATGGACTCCCATGAATTATATCAAAATTATTTGATTTCCTTTACAGTTACCTAGTAATGTAAATGTGTATGAATTGTTCACTCCGTCCACCTGAAGCTGCATTAACATAAAGCTCTGGTTATATTTAGTGATGCATTTGATGATATACTCCGTCTCCTCAGAAACCCTGACAAATAGCTTCAACTACTTAAAATTCACTCTCTGAGTGCGTTGGGTAAAGAGCTGTTTGTTTCACATGGGACAGGATTGATATGGAAATAAACATGTATCTTCAAAAAGAATCCCACCTTTGTCAATTAGGATAAATTAAGTTGTTTATTACATTTGCATAATCGGAATATTTGTTATTCTAAGAACTGCTTTAATTGTGCTGTATAGCACAGGATGTTCGTTGTTTTTAATTGTGGTGAATTGCACTATGGACTAGTCACTGTTTGCAAATTGCCATTTAGTGAAACTCATTATCAAGTCAAGTTCCCCTTTGATTTGCTCCTTAATAACATTTCTAATGAATATATGAAAATAAAAATAGCACCTTCTCTCCCACACCTGTGAAATACACAACAGCATTATTCCACAATGGGGCTTCAAACTTCAAAACTGCTGAAGTGCTGCTGCAGTGGTATTTTAGATACTCTGAATAACTTAGTGGTTTTTAGTGGAGCAGATTTGCCTACAATAATGTTTCTGTTGTACTGATATAGAAAAGGTTGCAAATTGTGTTTGGGTCATAAGGAAAATGTATGTTTGGGAAATGTAAGTAATAATAAAAGAACAACAGAGTTTATTTTGCATGTGTGCTTTCTTTTGAGTTTGACTGTTTTTTGAAGCTCCTTACAATTTGTCTATTTTGCCTCCTTGACAAAATGTGATATACTTTCTATATTCTCTCCGAGCCTTTTCCAGTCACTGAAAATGTCAACAACATAGTGTTTGTCTCAGACTTACAGTTCACTACAGAATGTTTGAGGAGGCTGCCAGTTCCATAATTGGTTGTCTTTGTGTCTCTGTTTTTTTTTTTTTTCAGATCTCCCACTTGTCAATCTCTCGGTGGAGCCTCAGCCTGTTCTGGAGGGCCATCTTGTGAAATTCCACTGCTCTGCAAAGGCCAACCCTCCTGTCACACTCTACAGGTGAGAGCAGAAAAACAAGTGTTTCTGGAGCAAACACAAATGCACAAAACATGAAAGATCCTGCAATGTCGAAAAGAAAGACAGTGTTGCAGCTAACTTTGAACGAGGTCCTCATCTCTGATCAGTGTCTGATGGTCAATACATTTTCACATTAACTAAAATCTTTACACTTCATTACTGATGGCATTAATCATTGCCAGACACCTTGTTATGATGCCATCACACAGCTATATCTGTCCACACTTTGAAATGACGAGAGGGAGGGGGAAAACTATGCAACACTGTCATGCTGAAAATTTTAATGAAACTATACACCTCAGAAAAATCATTTGGGGAAACCTTGTTTGTGTTCCAGTGGGTTGCAGCAAAGCAATGTGATGCTTTGCTGCATATCATCTCCCTTGAACATTAAATGTCCATCAGTGTGTCGGAAGAAAGGTGGAAATACCACATCTGATGAAGCTGTCAAAATTACAGCTTTTTCTGAGATTGGGTTGTGTTCTGTTGTTTGGAGTAAGAACGACAGGTTCCCCCCGGGTGTCTGATGTGTGTGCATGGGTCTGAGAGTGAGTGGGGGTTGGGGTATAGTATATTATGTGTTACAATTATATTTAGTTTTCATAAATGGCTGTAATGGCCATATGTACATGTGTGTCAGTGAACGTGAAGGTTATATAGAGCTACTCTACCTTTTTAATATCATTGAAGAAGAGCAGCTGTGGCTCATGAGGTAGGTCGGTGGTTCAATCCCTGGCTCCTCCAGCCTGCATTCTGAAGTGTCCTTGGGCAAGATACTGAACCCCAATTGACCCCGACAGCTGAGTGAATGGTGTGTGATAGAAAAGATGGTGTATATAGTGCTGTTGGGACATGTGTGAAGCGCTTTAACTGATCTGGAAAAGCGCTTAATAAATACATTTAATTGTTGGAAACATTTTTCCTAAGACTCTATTGTCAAGTTGGATGAAATCTGTAAAACCCTGTCTTATGTTTATTCGGCAAAGACATCAAATTAAAGATGTCCTACTTGATTTAAAAGACACAGTAAACATTAGCATTAGCCCTAAGTCATTGGCAGAATGTTCCTGTGAGAATATAACTCCTTTGGGATTCTGGGACTCTTGTATTCAAATAAACAAAAGACTAATATTGTTCATGAAAATAGACAAGGTCAGTCTCTATTTATTCTTCAATCAGAAACCAAATCATATGCTGAAAAACTTTGTTACAGACAGAAACACATATAATTAATTGCAACTTTCCAATCAAGTTAGAGCAAAACAAATGGCAGCAACCTAAACAAATAGATAGAATAAAAGAGAGTACAACTGAGTTATTCCAAAATCCGTAAAGCTGCTGTCGTCTCCTCCATTGGATTCATTCTCAATTGCATGTGTTAGTATTTCATCTTATAATATCTGTAATTGCAATGAAACAAGAAATTGGACATTAATCATTCTCATAAAATCTTGCATGGCCCTCCAGAAGTGTAATACTGAAGTGATTTGTCAAGAGATGGTTTTCTGTGTGGGAGGTTTTAAAAAACCAGAGCCAAAAAAAAATAAATTGAATAAAATCAATAGCAAAGGGAATTGGCCGTCTCTGAATCTTGTAATGGTACTGGGAAATAAAATGGATGTACAACACACTCACAGGTGGCAAAATAGAGATGTTGCCTTTTTGATGGATTTTTGCCCTTTTGAAAAAAAAGACGAGGAGGAGGGAGGGCAGAGATATTGTGGAAAACAAGGTTTGTATTTGATTGTGCAGGTTCACGGCAGAGACAGGACGTATATTGCGCCTGCAGTGGGATTTCACCTCCATTGTTATTAGTCTGGATCAATGCTGGAATCAGACTTCTCCCCAAGGTATCAAGAGCTAAGACGCAATGGCAGCGGGGATGACTTTTTCTTTTAGCATGAAGACTACTGAATGAAAAAAGGTTGGAGGTTGAAGCTGAGGTAGACTAAAACACCACTTTCCTACTGTATCATTTATGTCTTCCTTCCTTTCTCTCGCCATCTGTCTGGCTTCCTGTCAGTCACACAACCCACTATAGGACTGAATAATATTCGTTAAAACTAATAACTTCAGAAACTTCAAGGTTATACTTTTAGCTGATACTTCCTCCGTTCTCCACTTTATATAATCTCCCATTTAGATTTATCTACAGTTTATACAAGCACGTCAGGACTCTCATGCACCAGTGGAGCTCGGGGTATGGCAGGCGGGGGAATTTTGGGCCCCATAATGCTTGCCTGAGAGGCTTCAACGAGGGAGAGCCCCCCACAAATTCCCCCTCTAGAGAGCAATATCACAGAGGAGAGCAGGAAGCTGGTCAAGCAGTGTGGGGCCATTATTCAGTACTAATACACTCTGTCTCCCCCAGATCAGATACAGCACAAGGACAGAGCAGTTCTTAGACAGATGGCCTCTTTTCCAACCCCAAGAGAGCCATCCATTCCCAATGTGCACTGCACCACTTTGCCATCCTCCAGTGGCGTGGGCACTTGAGACACTGGTCCAAGATAGCGGGGTGGGGGTGGAGTTGGGGGGGTGTACTAGACAAAGCCTTGGTGCTTTCTACAAGCCTCTGATTGAAAACACTGGTTCAATAACTTTAAACAGGAAAGTGGGGAGAAGATACAGCTCTACAGATACATGAACGTTTGCCGGCTCTAGGGGGCAGTAAAGAGGGAGAGGGGTGGTCAGGGGATCGGAGAGGATGGGGGCTAGAGGAGAAGATGAAGGCAATGCTGGAAGTGCGAATGAAGTAAGAGTAACGGGCATGTGTTCCAGTCAGCTCTCAGGGGATCAAAGCACTCTGAGAGATAAAGACGAGTGGGTCGGAACATCTTTTTTATAATGGTAGGAGGGCTAACCAGCATACATCACAATCACTCAACCACCCTCTGATGAAGACACAGAGGGTTTTCTCCAATCCAAACAAGAACCCACCAGAGAGAAGAGAAAGAATAATAAACAAAGCAAATCAGGTCCCTCGTCTGCACATGCAACCATGCACAGAGCCACAACACCCCCCCCTCCCCTCCTTTGTATGGCACTGCAGTGAACATCCCAATCCTCACCAGCGTTTGAAGTGAAACAAAAATTACATTACAAAGTAAATAAATTCTGGATTTCTACAGTGAGTGAAAGGCACAAGATGTTGTTGATGTTCACAAAATATATGAATTTAATCAAGGAAACAACCAATTGAATTATTGGACTAAACTTGTAGTAAACCAGCTGTGACGTCCGTTTCCATGTTCTGTCTTATAAGCATGGTGGACAATACATGAATACGCTGAAGTTATTACTACATAATCAGGAGTACTCATTACTTATTACTACATTATTACAAGAGTGCTAAGTACTCAATACATTATCATATGAGTGCTCATTGGTCATTACTACAGTACTACATGAGCAGTAGTTTGCGCTACATCAGGATAAACACATTGTGC